AGATTTTTTGAAGCTTCAAATGGGTATAATTGATTTATGGAAAAGATACATCCAATTAAAGTTACAAATTTCTTATCCTGGAATACAATTACAAACGTCCGAAGCTCGATACTGTACCTACAGGCTTTGGATATATCGTATATATTTTGGGTAAGTTTTACTCTTCAGTTGAGGTATTAAAATGATAAGAATTTAAGGTATTTGCTCTTGTAATCACTTGTTTATCAATAATGCCAAAATTAGATGTTAGTAAGGCTTTTATACAAAATGTTCTTCTAACAATTATATTATATATATATATATATATTAATTTTGTAGATTTTTTATAGAACTTTATAAGGTGTTAAGGAATAGAATACCAAATTTTTGTCGGACCCTATAGAGATAATATTTTTCCTGGTGCATCTGTTTCTAACTCAGGCGTAGGTCTCGTCCTCGTCCTCGTCCTCATCATCGTCCTCGGCCTTTCCACGTCCTGGTGCTCGTCCTCCGTCGCGTTCTCATTCTCATTCTCGGCCGGCTGTCTATCTGTTTGTGTCTGTGGCATGCACCCCTCTACCTTATCCCCGACTGCTCAATCCTGGCCCGCAGCCCCACCCGTTAACCCCAGGATGCCCTGGATGGAAGCCCCATCCTGGGGTCCAGTCCCCAGTACCCAGTACCTGGTCCTCAGCCCCACCTCCTCATCCACGATTCGTTTCCCAATCAGACAGCCAGCGGCATCGTTAGCAACGCAACGCAACGAAACGCGACTCCCGGAGTTCGCCTGCATTCGCAAGTTCCAAGTTTCGTTGCAACCCCGATGGTCAGCAGCTCGGACTTCCACGTCTACCCCGGCCACCAATCCACGGACTCGAAACCCCCCTCCACGACCCCCTTTTAAGCCCTTTTTCATTGCCCATACGCCCTCGAGGGGGTTTTATTGCGCTAGGCATTTTTGCATATTTGAGGCATCATCGCTCATCGCTTTTGTGTGTAAGCCAACTTTTAGACATGGTCGAAGGTAAAAACAGCGGCAGGAGCAGAGGCTGGAAAGCAGAAGCAGCAGCTGAGGACCAAGAATCGCAAAGGGCTAGCCTTTTGTGCCACCCATTTTCTGCATTCTCTAAGCTGCAACGTCGCCGTCGCTGTTGCACTCTTCTATTTGCCGTTTTAATATGCAACATTTTTTCCCGCTGATCTCCCCGCCGGCCATGCCCCATCCCAGTATCCATTTTACCCTCATGTGTGTACGTTTGGTCACCTCAATGGTCGCAGCCTCGAGCACTGAGAACAAAAAATAGAAGGCTTTAACTACAAGATTCTTGTTCTGTTAATTATAAGAAATAAAAGAACATATATGGAACACATAATATTTTTTTTAAATAATATTTTCAGCTTATAGGAAATATCTTCTCGTTCTAGGGCTTGAATTGGACTTTTAATAAGCAATATGTACCTACTTACATTAAAGTATTATCACTATTATAATTTTTATTTTTCTTGCAGACCTGCAAGTGTTTTTTAAAACCCTTTAGCTTGCTTATATAATTGATTTCAGTCTTAAGTTAGTTTTTTTTGTGACTCGGTTCACTTTGCACACACAGTTTCTTTTTAAGTGTACTTGATCCCAAAACAAAGACGAGCAACGTTCCTTTTCTGGTTCTGATAATAATAAGAAAGTTATAAGTATATTATTATAATTTTTAATTTCTACGCAACCTATTGATATAATATGATATGATAAAACATTTATAAACAATCTTACAAAGAATATGATATTTCATTAAAACAGATTTGATTTAGTTAAGAGTCAAACTTTGGTGATGCCTTGATAAGATTTCCTACGTGTTTTGATGACATCAAAGTATTGGTTATACTAATTTTCGGCCAGTGCATTCACACTCATGGCAACCGTTTTATTTGTTTGTTTGCTTGTTCGTTCACTCATGTGTGTGGGTCAGACGGCGACCTCCGCCCCTCCCTTCCGCAACTTTGTCTGTTTGGCTCAAATGTTGTCATCTTTCCCCGCACACACACTCACTACACACTACACCCCCTTAAGCCCCCAAAAACCCACCGGCCCACCCACTTTCGGCCTTTCGCAGAGGCTTTCGTCGCTTTTTTGGACATCCGCAGCCAGTGGATTCTATCCTGGATGCTATCCTCCGAACCTGCGTCCACGTCTCCACTTCTCCACTTCTCCGCATCTGCGATGTCCTTTCACGTCCGCGTCATCGTTTTGCTCGTCAGCGTCGTCGTCACCAGTTAAATACATAAATTTTCGTATAAACGCGTTCTGCAGTCGCGAGCCTAGCAGCCATTTCCCATTTTCCATTTCCCAGGGCCGCTTTCCCGCCTTTCACCCCCTTTCACTAGATGGCGCGCAACAACAAACAACTTAGAGAATGCGTGATGCATTTTCGGGCTCCTGCGTTTGATCCAAATTTTGTTTGCTGCAATTCATTTGTTGCTATAAGCCAAATACAGTGGGATCTAATTGGGATAGTTGGATGGGAAAATAAACCAAAAATATCGAAGATATATTAAGGAAGTTCAAAGATAATACATACATAGGAAAAATCAATTATCATAAATGCATTGAAAATCAACAAACACAAAATAAAAAAAAACAAACAAGAAAAGATGTTCAAGTGATTTTCTGATAAAAGCATCATAAAAGTTTGTAAAGTCTTGGAAATAATAATAAAACATGGAAATAAATTGTATACAACTAGAACAGATAAACCATGTATCATTTGTCCAGCTGTTATATAATGAAATCTATTTTACCGGTTGGATCAACGATATGTTATTAATCATATTGTTATTGTATCAAAGAATAATCGGACCTGGTAAAATCAAATATACTGTTTAGATCGAGATGTATCTCAAAGTATCTGTTATATACTGAGAGAAAAATCTATTTGGGCTATTACTAAAATTAGACGTTTATGGTTTTTATACCTGGTATTTAAGTAAATCCTGTGCCAATGATTTTCCCAATCAAATTACTAAGTTTATTACCCTCTATATTTAAGAAAAGTTATCCCAACCGAATACGAAAAGACCCATATGAATAATAAATTAGTTAATGACACGTATTCATTGAAATAATAGCGATACAGCAGTAGAAAGACACAATTCATAAAAACAATTTCGAGGGCTAGCCATTAATAAGCAAAAGTATCACTTAGCGTCATTAAAACGGCGGAAATGAGTGAGTAAAGGCATTAAAATCGCATTCGGAGTTGCCAGGTGAATACTGAGTACTGAGTACTGAGCAACTTGATCGAAGGAGAATACCTGCCGATCGCGTATTTTTCCCCTTTTTCGCGACTCGATTCATGGCCGATGTTTATTATAATGTAACCGAACTGAAAAAGCAGCCGCCATTTGCCAGTCACGAAAAAAATTATGCATAATTTATGACTGGCTGCGGTGGACCCCCCTACTCGCCCCCTCTCGCTCGCTCACCTTGATTGTACCGCTATAGCTTCGTCCCGCTCGCACTTGTGCGAATTTATTTATTTTCGCTGGATTTGTATTTCTTTATTTTATGTTTTGCATATTATAAATGCGCAAGGCAATAAAAAAATACGAATAGTCGTAAACACATATGGGGAATTACCCACACAGAGGCGGAAAATCGAGGCTGACCAGTCTCAAACGCCAGTGCCCCGCCCTCCGCCCCTTCGGCCCCCTGCCACCCCAAAGAACCCCCTCCCCCGAGAGAGCGAGGAAAATAGTGGAAAACTGCAGGTGCAGCCAAAGGCTGAAAGAAAGAGAAACGTCTCTTAAGTGCCGTCTCTCTCGCGAAAGAGAGAGCACGACTCGACTCAAATTCGCCGCACATCTTGTTTTCGCCTAAGCATTTGTTTACAATGCACGAGCGGCAGCGACGTCGGCAGAGGCGTCGACAGCGAAGAGAGTTTTTCAGGGGGGCTATAGCCGAAGGAGGTGTTTAGTGGGAGGGGTGGGATGGGGTACCCCTCGAACGGAACTAATTAATGAAGCATCTTTCAGCCGAGTTTTGTTCCTAGTCGGAGGAGAAATGCGTGAGGGAAGGAAAGTGTGGGGGGGGGGATTCGGGAGGAACAGAAAGAGAGAGGCTATAATTTGAAAGAGTGATCACTGTTCTTGGACAGTTTTCCTAATAACTATCAATATTTTACAATAAAAAACAATTTTTATTTCTTAAAAAATAATTTATATTTTGTATAAAGATGTGTATAATTAAAAAAAAATAATCTTACAAATATTCCTTACAATTAACTTAAAACAAACAAATTTTTTCCGATTTCAAAAATAGCTTCCCCTATAACATCCTTACTAACTCAAACTCCTTGCCGATATCAACCATATTTCGCCGCTTTCCCACTTTCTGAAGACCCCCGAAATTTCGGCCGGGGTACTGGTCGGCGGGCCTGGCTCCACCCTCTCCTGCCCAGCGCCTCTGAAAAATATTAGGCCTAAGCCCGCACTCGCACTCAAAATCGCAATCGCAGTGGCATCGCCGTCGCTCTTCGCTGCATTTTCGGGGCAACTTCCGTTTCCTCACGCACGCACACTTGCGACGCATCCTTTGCACGCAATGGTAGTGGTGCAGTAGCGCCAAAGCGCCAAAATTTTTGGGGGTTGCAACGGCGAGAGGCCGAGAACGAGGACGAGTTCGAGCATGTCGAGATACGAGATGGGAGATACGAGGCGAGGACGAAGGACGAAGGACGAGTCGAAAGCCGATTTCGATTTTGAGTTCGAGGAGAGCCAAACCAAAACGCAGCGCAGGAGCAAAGGAATGCGGTGCCGTCAGCCGGCGTTTTTTGGCGCCTACAGCTCGCCGTTTTCAGCCATTTTCCACTGCCGCTCGACTCTGCCTCAGTCGAAGTCTCTGTCTCTGCCGTCGGTTCTCAGTGCCCAGTTCCCAGTGCCCAGCTCCCAGTTCTCGGTTCTCAGTTCTCAGCCGCATCGCATTTTCCTTTCGCAAACGGAACGCAACGAAACGCCGGCAGAGCAGTTCGCGAACTATTCGCAACTTCGTCGCGAACTCAGTCGCCGCCTGAGAGCAACAACTACAAAGCGGCGGCAGTGGCAGTGGCAGTTGTTGCTGCAACATCGGCGCTGCCCCTCGGCGGCCCTCAGTTTTCCACAGCCATCGCCACATCCACATCCACATCCACAGCCACGTCGTCGTGGGCCTTCGTCGTCGTCGTGTGTTAAGTTTGTTTTGAGTTTTTCCGTATCAAAATGTGCAAAACGATTTCAGTCTAATTCAGACGCTCGTGCTGAGAAGACTTTTGGCCCTGTTTGTTGGCCAACATAGAGCCATATCACACTGCAACGGAACTGAAAGCACCACACATTGAACACGACGACGAGAACCGAAACGAACTGAACAGAACTGAGCTGAAAGAACGAAAGGCGGGCTAATTGCCAAATGGCCACGTAGTGCGCGTAGTAACGTAACGAAAACGTAACACACACACTGACACCCACACACACACAGAGACAGCGCACACAGATACTCACATGTACATGCCCACTCTCAGTTAAAGCGTCGTAATTGTCGCGGTTTTCATTCAAACACTTTCAAAAACGCTATGTGAAGAGCGGTCGCGTGACGTAACGTAGCGTTTAACGACCGATCGTAACGGTGATCAACGATCAGCGATCAGCTGTAGCAAAACAAAATGGCGTCGGCGCAGGCGGAAACGAAGGTTGGAATGGCGCCCGAACAGGGAGCAGAGACGCAGAGGCAGCGCAAGGGCTCGGGATCGGGAGCTGGTTCGCCGAAGAGCAGCCGGAGTTCGCCCACCCAGCAGGAGGAGAAGCAGCGCACGAAGAGCGAGGATCGCACCTCACCCACTGGCGGTGGCTCAAAGGACGAGGACAAGGAGGGTCAAGGTCATGCGGCCGTAGGAGGAGGAGGCTCCTCGCCGGTGAGTTCGCCCCAAGGACGCAGCTCCTCGGTGGCCAGTCCCAGCTCCACGTCCCAGCAGTTCTGCCTGCGATGGAACAACTACCAGACGAATCTCACGACCATCTTCGATCAGCTGCTCCAGAACGAGTGCTTCGTGGACGTGACCTTGGCCTGCGACGGTCGCTCCATGAAAGCCCACAAGATGGTCCTCTCAGCCTGCTCTCCCTACTTCCAAACCCTGCTGGCCGAGACACCCTGCCAGCATCCCATTGTGATCATGCGGGACGTGAACTGGTCGGATCTGAAGGCCATCGTGGAGTTTATGTACCGCGGCGAGATCAATGTGAGCCAGGATCAGATTGGCCCGCTGCTCAGGATAGCCGAGATGCTGAAAGTGCGCGGCCTGGCGGATGTGACTCACATGGAGGCGGCCACGGCAGCGGCTGCGGCGGCCTCCGAAAGGATGCCCTCCTCCTCCCCCAAAGAGGGTGGCACTTCCACTTCCAGGACTGATAACGAGCGCGAGGCGGAGGAGCTCCTGGCCTTCATGCAGCCGGAGAAGAAGCTGCGCACGGACTGGGATCCCGCTGAGTTGAGACTCTCGCCGCTGGAGCGCCAGCAGGGCAGGAACGTGAGGAAACGGCGGTGGCCCTCGGCGGACACGATCTTCAATCCACCCGCACCACCCAGTCCGCTGAGCAGCCTGATAGCCGCCGAGCGGATGGAGCTGGAGCAGAAGGAGAGGGAGCGGCAGCGGGACTGTTCGCTGATGACTCCGCCACCCAAGCCACCACTGAGCAGTGGTTCGGGGGCGGGGGGAGCCTCAAGACGCCTGGAGACCGCCATCCACGCCCTGGACATGCCCTCGCCGGCCGCCACGCCAGGACCTCTCTCCCGATCCTCGCGACCCCACTCGCAGAGTCCCCAGCAGCAGCAACAACAGGGACAGCACCCCCTTCCGCTGCCACTGCACCCACACCACCACGCACCGCCCGCCCCACATCCCGCCCAGACCTCGGGATCCTCCCACCATCCGCATCCACCATCGCCCGCTGGAGACTCCCGCTTTCCCCTGGGTCCAGCCGCTGCCATGGCCGCCGCCATGGAACTGAGTGGTTTGGGACCTGGACCACCCGCCGAACCACGCTTACCACCCCCACCGCCGCACCACCATGGCGCCGGAGTGGGCGGAGGGGGCTTGGGCGGTGGAGCAGGGGGAGCGGGCGGAGGATCGTCGCTGGCCGATGACATGGAGATCAAGCCCGGCATCGCTGAAATGATCCGAGAGGAAGAAAGGGTGAGTGGTCTTTTATATTAAACACATAACATATTTGACTTTACAAAATTCAACACTATATGCTTTTGGATATTTTCTGGCTTGGAAGATTGACATAATATTATACCAGTCCTAAAGATCTTTATATGCTCGTACCACCTTGTGCTCTTTATATTAATAATGCAAAACATCAAATAAATCATACAATTTTTAAAGGCCATTTAAAAACTAAATGTTCAATACCCCAAACAATGATTATTTTTCCAACTAACAATTCCTGTAATGAGCTAATGATAGTGCCAAAAGTTCAATACACAAATATATTGCGTTTTAGGATTAGCAGTAAGTTTTAGACATTCGTATATTACTCAAGATAAATATTTATGTACACTTAAGAGTACAGTTTCGATTTATTGTATGATATATGTCTTTCAAAATGTTATAAACAATATGTTATGACTTGAGTTTGTTAAGAGACTTATCTCTTGCATAAGTCTCTTCTCTTCAATTCTTTAAACACAATTCTACGAAGAGAGCGGAAGACTCTCTTCTGCTGCTGCCGCGCTGCAACAGCGCAGTTGCAGCGCTGCTTGCCTCTCCTGCTCATAGACTACTTATCTCTTCCACTCTCCGATCTTTTCCCTCGGTTTGTTTTGATTCACGATTCGCGATCTCCAATCTTCGGCTGCGAAGAATTCTGCCGGCGGCATTTCGCCTCGTGTCTTGACGTCACAGCGCGGAATGCGGAGCTCCAGTCCCACCGTTTTTGAACCCCCCCTCCCAACATCCATTGGGTCCACTCCATGGAATGATTGACAGCATTCACGTGCTCCACGTCGTCCATTGTTCGCTCTCTCTTCGCCCGCTCTTTCTCCCCGCGGAGATTTGCTCCACATTCTACTCCCCTTCCGGAGGTCAGATCCCCCGATTCTTCGGTTCTTCGGCTCTCGGAGAGCAGTCACTGGAACGCTTTGGTGACCAAGAGGTGATTGAAATTCCTGTGGCCTGCGGTTGATTTCGATCTATGGAGCATTTTGTGACTTGTTGTGGCTCGCTAAGTGTGCTTCAATTAGGGCAGCGGCGAAAGAGGTCTGCACAGGAAAAATATGGGGGTCAAATCAAATGGTAATGTTCATGGGTTCCTTTATGGATGAAACAAAATTCGGAACGATTAACATATTATGAATATTTGCTTGATCATTTTAAGGTCTCTCTTCGATCTCTAAAAATCGTTACCATTTTTAAAAGCTAGTTATAAATGTTAGAGTGTTACTTTTTTAGAAGCACTTGATTTTGATAATATTAAACCTATAATAATAATTTATAAAAGAAATCTATTTCCTAAAATATTCTGTGTTAATATATCTGTTATGGTAATAACTTGGAATACAATATAGCGATACAATATTTTTGCCAGTTTAGCTCCTTTCAGGGGGCAAACCTAGCGACCGGTTCGAGTTCGACTGCATTAGCACTGAGCTCACCGCAGAATTCGCACTTTAATAAAAATTTGTATTTATTTATCCAATAGACGTCGACGACGTTCACTCAAGAACCCAGATCTCTGGCGGTGGAGATGGAGTTCCATTCAGAGTCCGAGTCCGAGTCCCCGTTCCTCGGCAAGTCGGAGATCAATCGGAATGCGATATTTGTTTGTCTGAAAAGAAACTGCAAAGAAACTCCTTGTTCTCCCGCGGTCCCGGTTCTTGGCCATGTTCCATGTTCCGTGTTTATTGTCGCTTTCGAGTGCATTAATCAAATAGCCGGCTATATGTGCATTAGCCTGCTCATGTGTTCATTTTTGAAGCCGTTTGTTTGCCCCATCTGATCGCCGCGGCGTTGGCTCGTTAGCGTCTCTTTTCAATAAATATTTTGTTTTTATGCTTTTTTAAATATTTTCCCAACTGACCGTTTGCTTTGCTTTTTATGTGCTTAGAAATTCTTTGGAAAATGCATCTGCATCTGCATCTGAATCCGCTGCGGCATCTGTATCTGCATCTTTGTTTGTTTGCCTGGGTATTAGTGTTGCCGGCCGTGTTTATGCTTTCCTGCTGTTTGCCTTTCCGATTGTTCTCCGCACTGCCCCCACCGCCCATAACCCATCGCCCATCATATATTTCCCAACGTTTATTCACACATTTCATTTATTATTAAAAATTGATGCATTTTTCGTTGCTTCGCGGCGATCGCATCAGGCAATGCCATATAGGTACACGGAAAAAAACATCCTACTACTTTAATTATTTCAAAAATGTCCCCCCAAGAAATATTTATGTTTTAGGCAAACTTTATTATTATTATATTTAACATTATTTGTTATTGACAACATGAATCTGACTTTATTTTTACAATATCTGCAAGGCAAAAAGATCTTAAGAATAAATAAAATCTTCCTTTCCGTGTAAAAATCAAATATTGACAGGCAGCATCCTCCGCCGACGATTCCACCAGCTTCTTTAATATTTATAATTCCTTTCCATTTATATTTATATGGTTGTGTGGATGCATCTCCGATTTATTCCGCCTTTTCTCCCTTCACATAAGCAGATAAAGCCGATAAGTGTCAGTCGCCGTGGTCCAGGGGTCTCAGATCTCAGTTCTGAGTTCTGAGTTCTCGGTTCTGGCCGTCTGGGCCCTCGGTTTCTGGTGATTAATTGCACTTTTATTTGTCTGCCTTCGCCTTTGTTAAAAATCATTTTTTCTCCTTTACGCATTTTTTGTTCTTCAGTTTTTCATATTTTATTGCCAGCGCATTTAGATTGTGTGTGCGAGTGTGCATCATTAGAGGTTGTATATTATTATTGGTTTCCTCTCCAGCCTCTCGATCAGTTCACTGAACTTTTTGCGGAGCGTGGGCGCAGAGGAAGTTTTTATTAGGCACAATAAGACGATTGAAACCCATCCAAAGGGGAAGTACAATTTTGTCTACAGTTTGTAGTCCTAAGAGTCATTTATAGTCAATTTTCCTTTACTAAGCTGAAAGAGGAATTATTTTTAATGCCATTAAAATATATTTTTCTACAGTTTATCCATTTTACCTAAACATAGAAAAATTAAAACAGAAAATGCTTGTTCATGGGAATGTATAATTAAATTATTTTTCCTCAAAGAATAATTTTTATAAATTTAAATAAATGTTAGCTTTAAAAAAATATTACAAAATGTGTAGATCTATGGTATTATTTTTAGAAAATAATTTTTGTACAACAAAAAAACAGGTTTAGAAATTCTGAAACTCCCTAGAACAATTGAGATACATGCGGCTACTGATTGTAATCAATTCCGCATCCCGCAGACCTTTCCCTTTCGATTTCCTAGCCACTTTCCCACTCAATTAGTCCGCAGATGAGGGCCAGACCGCAGGGAGAAAAAGGAGAGAGTCCAGAGAAAAAGGGAGAGAATCTGCGAGAATCTCACACTCATGATTAGCGTGTGTCGCTTACCTTTTTTCCAGCCGGCAAAAACTGCAGCCGAACTGCCGGAAAAAAACGATGCAGACAAATTACCGCAGGGAGGGGGAAATGCTAAACGTGCCACATTCAAACTACTTGAACAAAACCCAGGCAAAAAGGTGAAGAATCAGGAAAAGGGAGCGAGTGGCGTGCATAAAAATTGAAAAAGATGCACACAGCTCGAAAAAGGAATCTCGCATCTCGCAGCGAAGGAAGCCAACAAGCCACTTAACCCAATCGACAAAAGTCATTACACTCGTCACTCTTTCAGAAGATGAAGATGAAGCAGACGACCCCACAGCTTCCGCTGTGCACGCCAGTATCTCGAAGATACTTCTCAGTGCGCCACGGATTCCGATTCCCGCGGCTAACGTCGGGGGTTGCATTATATAAAATAATATAAATAATACAATTTATTACGTGGCCCAGCATGTTAGGTTCTCTTTTTTCTCGTACCTCCAGCTGCATCTGTTGCATCTATGCCCGGGCAGTTTGTATTTTCTTTTGTATACAACATCTTCGTGGAAAGTAAATAAATAAAATAAAAATGAAGAAATATATATGAGTTCAGCGCGGCCAAACAAACCCGAAAGCCAAAGAACACAAAAGAGAACGAATCCCCAGCCGAGGAATAAAAGCGAAAATAAATTGTATAATCCGCTTTGATGTATCGCCTTCTGTTTTATATTATTCAGTCATATTTTATATATGCGCACCGATCCGATCCGAACCGATCCCAAAAACCAAAGCGATCCCCACATGGAGAATTCTGAATTCGGAATACAACAACACAAAAGCGGGCCATTCAAGTACTCCCCAAGTAGTTTTTACAGCATCTTATGTTCGTAAAGATGCAAAGCAGATTTGAATGTGAATTTGAATTTGAATTCGGCCCTGGTCGATTTAGTTTAAATGCCTGGCATAAACATTTAATTAAATTCGAAAAGCGGCCATAACAGAGCGATTTTAATGTTTATATTTTCAAATACTTGGCGGAAAATTTTCATTTTTATGGCTAAGCCAAATAAATCGTATACGATGTGGAAATGAAAATGGGAAATGGGATTGCGGCAACAGCTGCACAAGTAATTCGTTGATTAATCTATAAAAATAAATTTGTATCTATGGACTGTGCGCTGTGAAGTATCTTGTGGCAGGGGCCTCCTTGTAGCAGGCATTTTCTAATCGGATTTAGTTGGCCGGCTTCATTTATTTTATTTATTTTTATGCCCGTAATGCGGCATAAATAATTTATGCTGATAAATAACCCCAAATGCCCCCCTCTGAGGCATCATCATAAAGCAAAACAACACACACCGACAGCAGGAAACGAGAAATAGGAGCGGAGCGGCCGTCTTTTCAATCTCATGTATCCTTCTAAAAATATTTATTTATTTATTTTTCAACTCGCACACACACTCACTGCCACACTGGGACTCGCAGAGGTCTGCCCACATTTATTTGTAACCCTGTATAAATTTATTATATTGCATTAGTTGTAAGTCAGACCCAGACTGCGCTGAAACCCAAATACATCTGGGGTAGGGTAGAAGTTGTGGCCTGCTGAGT